GTCGTAGCCCGGTCGAAGCTCAAATAAAAAATAAACTCAATCTGGCATCGCGAAGCAGACATTTTTTTTCTTACACACGCATACAGTGGAAGTGAAGTGAAGTTGATCAAAAAACAAATATTTTACCAATTTAATTGTAACAAATGAATTTTTTTCCGCTGATGCATTTATGATTCACCCAACAAAATGACCGCTCGCCAACATAGTTGTCTTCATAGCTCAATAAAGGAAAGCCCCCTTAGTAGCGCACCGGCATCGCTGACATTCAGTCGATCGTATATAAAACGTTCGGCTGATCGATTCCGGCGCATAAAGAAAACTTATCTTCAGGATGTTAAAAATGACAAGTTTCAAAGGGTTAGAACTTTTCAATTGGTGAGGATGAATTTTCAAGAAATTTTGCAAAGAAACCGATAACCGGTAACCGATARTCCATGTCCGGAGAGAGTCTCGCTTYCTGGTCGTGAACACGAAACAAAATCCCAAAACTTCAAAAAGTCTACCTTTGTGGCTTTTAAGAGATATCTCCTTGGAAACTTTGCATCTTTATAATTTATGATGTGACCAACTCGAGAATTTCATTTTCGTTATCAATTATTTCAAAGTTTTATAGCGTGACAAAGGTCTATTTCCATTTCGCGCACGTGCGTTTACCCCAATTCAGATTGGCTCTGGTTACATCATTATATACAACTGCAATGACTGGAGAATTATCCTGCAATTAGATCTATTGCTGTGTTTAGCAATTTTAATTTTAGTGTATATATTCCATGAGAAAGATGTTGTTTCACTGGAAAAAATCGTGCGCTTTAAAGGTTGTAAATTTGATGTATATATGATGTAAGTGTCCAAAATGATGTAAATTTGATGTAAATCATTTCCATCAAATTTACATCATTTTGGACACTTACATCATATTTCCATCAAATTTACAACCTTTGTGGCGCGCGATTTTTTCCAGTGTTTTCGTGCTGACTAACTAAATACCACGTGACACTGATCAATTTATTTATATATTGTGCACGAGTCGTAGCAAGTCGACTGCTCTAGACTACTTGAAACACTATAGCACGTAATAGCCCAGAGAGTAGTTTAAGCCGTATCAGGATTTTTACAAGCCTCCCGGCCACAGACGTTTATTATTTTTTTAAAAATCGCCTCAAGAATGTCAGTATTGGAGGCAGTATCTTTGTATAATTGGCTAGCAAGGAAGAATTATAGAGAATAAAAGTCAGTCTGAGTCCGATTGTTAATCATATGTGATCGTCTAAACATATATCTGCATCACGCCAACTTCGACAAAAACTTTTTGTTTAAAATAATAAACGTCTGTGGCCGGGAGGCTTGTAAAAATCCTGATCTTTGGCCATCTTTATAATTTGACTGTATAGAGCAAAATTGAAAATTGTAAGTAACCTAATATTATTATTCGATTTATATCAAGTAACAATGCGCTTAAGAACTAGGGAACTCTCTATTGTTTTGCGACATTGCAACTTCCCCACATACGAATGTCTTTGTTTTCACACTGATTATATATCAACCTATGGGTAACACATTTTTGAAATAAAATGTGGATAAACTCTATTTGTTTTAAACAAAGTTTCTTTTGTATTAAAACCTCTATCCAATCATAAGCACTCAAAAAAATAGACAAAAGAAACTTCTAATTTGCTATGTTCCCCACATACAATTGCCTTGATATTGTAGCTATTAAAGAAAGCTTTCGTGAAGTCGGAATCAGATATTAAATAAAGTATTAGAAAATGCGCTAACTTGTGAAATTATAGCAGATTTTCTTGTTTAAACCAATGAGATGGATGGATTATACAATACTACAATTAGCACCTTCTTGCATTCCTTTGCCGTTTGCTTCCCTAGTTCTTACTCGRGACATTACTTAACCATTATTACAGAATTAAGTCACAATATACAGTAATAACACACACCAACTGAAATACTTCTGCATTGGAAAATATTCTTAAGACAATAAAGAAATAGATTTTTTGCTTTTATGCTCAGAGAGACAAAGAATACATTGTAACAGACTGCAATCAAAACATTGCGAGTAACATGCATAAAGAAGCATGGTACAATATTTCTATAAATACAATTTTTGGTATTCTACAATATTCTACACTGAATTTTATGGAAGGTTTGGTACTCAACATCTATACGTATCACCCATATATCTAATAATTTATAAGCTTGCAGAACTAGTTTAAAGTAAATGAAATACATTTTGACATAAACGTCGTTATAGAGATCGTGTGTTGCAGCTCCAAAGGCTGATCGGCAACCGCATCATTGCGTGATTTGATTCCAATCAAAGATTTGAAAAATAGTGATCTTAATACAAAAATGATGTATTTTGTAATCGATCTACACWCCAGTATAGTGTGAAGAATTATCTCGCTACAATTGCAATTGTTGAAAGTCCTGTTTCCAAAATATATTAAGTCTGATTGCCCAAAATCGCTTCAGTTACACCTCACTGAGACTGCGATGTGTGAAAAGTTCACGAACTTTTGCCTAGTCTATTTAACAACGMTCTTTATGTCTCTATTATGACTTTCTACTCGAAAGACGGCAATATTTGCGAATCTGARAGTGGAAGGTAAAAACCTTGTGTCGACCCTAGGTTCTTTTCAAATTAATTCAAGTAAAACATTGACAAAAGTATTTAAATAAGCAAGAGGTTGCTAAAGAGAAAAATATGCATAAATCAGTTGTTTGTCGAAGATATTTTCATTAGTGACTGCATTATTTTTGGTCATCGTGGATTCTGATTGGCTAAGCGCACAATGRCGCTGCGCATGAGTGATACTTGTAATCCAAAGAATGTCGTTATGTCAGTTTACAAGCGAGTGAAGCGACCAGCGTTGATCGAATAGCTGAAAGCAAAAATCAACGAACATGGCGAAAGTGACAGGAAACTCCGCCAGGGCTGCAGCCATCGTTGGATTTTTAATAATATGTTGTGGAATTCCTATTACAACTTGCGGGGTTATTTGGGTTGCTTATGGTGGCTACCAAGGGCATGGATTATGGTCTGGAATACCGGTGGGTCTCTTACAATTAACATTCGCTAAATATTGGTAGGAAATATACTTTAGTGAGCCTTACAGCATACGAGAGACCATSGCATTACTTCATTAATGGATTATAATACGTGTATTTCCATCAAAGTTTTTATTAACTTTCTATTCGATCTAATGGCGAACTCCACGGTACGCTGATTCGCTCGTATATAAAGTGGGCCTTTTGGAAACCCTTTTACTAKACGCACTAATAAAACAAACTTTGCGAGTTTGTTTGCATTCTTGGCATGTATTTGCACTTGATATTTAGTTTCATCCAGTTCTGAAGTATTATGAGATGAAATAGGTCAAAAATACTCGAAAAAATTGTTATCGAAGCTGACTGTATGATAGTGACGCCCGTKAGATATTTCACTTGTTCAATAACTTTTGAAAGCTAGTGTAACATTTTACATAGTAGCACATAGTACGAAATTGTTTCAAATGTCTAAAAATTAAGTTTTGATCCTTGTAAGATCCAATGCATTTATGTTGCTACTATCAAACAAGGAACCATCGTCTCTGTTGATGACTCAGTTTCGGCCATTGTTGAATGACGCTTCTAACACGAACAATAACATCGATATATGTATGTATACAAACGAAGCAATTTTTAGTCAACGTGAATAGCAACTTTGTTGTGATTTTTCCTTCGTAGTGGTGCCTTCGAGAATCTCTTTTCGTGTAATTTTAGCTAAAAATGTAAAATGCGAGTGTAARAACAACGGTTTTTGCTCTTGAAAAGCGTAAAGTTGCTCTATWTTCATTGCAYTCGGAACTATAGGAAGAGTATTATGGTTTGCTTCGCTTAAACAGTTGCAAAAATAACATCAGTAAAATTATGCTGCTTTGAACTTCTTAAATGTGATGCTCAATTCGTTTTATTTAAAAACAGTTATACACAATATACAGTTTCGTGAGCAAGTTTAAATCGCATATATCTGCATATCAATTATGTTAATGTATTTTCACTTAGCAARGAACTATATCGCGGAAAGAATACTCAGGTTTTTTTTAACAAAGCAATGAACTCAATCATTTTCTTGTAACAGCTAGTTTATAACCAGACAATGATTATAATTTAGACAGACTGCCAAACACCTATAGCTTCAAAATTGTACAATTGCCAATCAATAAGTGATAAACAACCTACGGTCTAAACTTACTCTTTACAAAAAATCATCAATACATAACGAGTCTTTAAAAGAAAAGTGGCAAACTCAAAGCTGTTGCGTTCATATCTTTTGCCAAGAGTTGGATGCTTCTTTATTCTTAAAAGTTATTTACTATGTTGACACTAAAAACATTTCTTGGCTGCTAACTCGACTGTGAAGGCACCGAGTCACTGCTTTAAAGGTTGAATGCTTCCTTTATTCACAAGGAAGTGTGAAATACTTGAAAAACTTCTACGTAATTTTTTAATCTAATGAGGCAATCTTACGATTGTTAGGCTTTAGGACCCTATAGATATATTTTCGGTCAATCGAGGGTCGTTTATTTTCAAGCTTCTACCATCTTTCCTAAAGTGAGCAATGTTGTTATTGCAGTGACGTTATAATTATGAGGWACGTTTATACGCAAGAATACACCTTTTTTAAAAATTCAAATTTGATTCTTTTCAGTATAATTAATATCGTTCAAACGAAGTTTTTTTAGTCAGGATGTTGTTGCTGCATRTAACATCTTGATTGACTTCAGATAATTCCCAGGCATCTCATAAAAAAAAACAATAGCCGCTGCAGTGTTGCTAAAAGCCCTTTTGGGGTTGATTATTGGACCCTAGTAGTTTTATCAGCCAGCATAATTGTCTAATTTTTCTTACAACACTTTCAGCTATTGGCGACTGGGTTCTTTGGTTTTGTRTCTCTAACAAGAAATAATTGTATGGTAAGTATTGGGCTTCCTGTGTTATATGTTCATGTCTATGGCGGAAATACTGTTTAGTTTAAGAATTACAAGAAAAAATATATTGATACTCAAAGTTCACACTTCGATGCATGTTTGAGTAAATTTGGGATTTTTGGTTTTGGATGGTTGCCACCCCGATAATCCCCTTCCCCCATTTCCTTTGGATCCGCCATTACTGTGTATTTTTGTGTACACGGTAAATTAACAACGGAAATCAGTGTGAAAATTTTCAGGGCTTCTCAGACCAATAAGCATTTTTTGCGCGTCAAATATATAACTTCCATTTTTGTTTTCTTTCATGTTTATTTTCAGTTCATCTTATATATCATTCTTGCTATCATGACGGCCATTGGTGCTGGAATTCAAAGCGTCACCGCTGGCCTAGAATTAAATCATTGGAATAAGTACATTGGAAATAACAAGTGTAGTGTCCAAAAGGGAGCTTGTACTTGTATTGGATTTGAGAAAATTCGTATTGATGATTGTAAGTATATCTTMAAATCCTCAAGTAACCACTCACGAACGATCGCCACTGAAAATGTTATACATTATCCATTTTATAGACTCGTTTATGATTAACCTGTTAAAGCCCCACTTACATCCCGGAACCTTTTTTTACCGTTTTGTTTTTTAGAGATAGCGGTTGTTGAAATATTCACTCTGTTCGGTTGAAATATTTGAAAGATGGCAATTTTCTTTTGTGACAAAATCGTACAAAGGTTCTCGGCTGCGCGTGCGCCTTTAAGGATGATTCTCACTATTGAAGAGAGCGAAGAAGAAAACTGAACGGAACGTTTTCATTTGTTATTTTCTTCTGTCCTCTCTAAATAAATAAATAAATAAATTGGTGGTAGCTAATCGCAAATCCTTGCAGCCCGAGTGCTGAATTACGAAGGACGCAGCTCACGTGATCGAGTCGGTTATGCGGTATACGAGGGCGCTATCATTACGAGGACAATCACATAGTTACAACACACACACAAAGCAGCCAACCAACCGACCCATAATCTGATCACGGAGCGCAGCTAGGATCGAAATGTTCCGTTTTTGCTGAGGGAGAAAAAACCCTCGAAGCAAGGGAGAGAACGGAAACAAACTCAAGCCACATAAGATCCCAAGTCCGAATCGAACCCGGGACCACAGGCCGACGCTCTCACCACTCGGCCACCCTTGCTTCCCATTTGCAGTCATTTCTCTCACACTGGCATATAAGTCATATAAGCTTCGCTTTTTTCTCTGCCTCGGCTTACTCCGCCACCAGCCCATGCAGCTAGCGGAAATCTATCTATATATATATGGGTTTGAGCGCTTCATCGGTAACAATTAACGCTTTTAATTAAAATCCTTGAGAAAAATAATTACTCACGTACTGTTTGCATCATTTTCAGTGGACTCCTGCGACAAGATCCCAACCATCAACGATCTTTTTATCACTATGATATTTTTCTCCATTTGTGGTACTTTGCTGTGCGGTTTTGGGGCTATTGCTGGTCTCGTTGGCTTGACATCAGTACCTCGATCGGTACGTTGAAAACGCATGCTATTTTCATTAATACGTTTTATTTATTGATAATAGCGTTCAAGAGAATTTGTAGTGTATACAGTGTGAAATAAAAAAAGAGAGTAAATTTTGATTTTCATTCGATAGCAACCAACAACGCTTCCAAGGAAACCTAAATCTGCAAAATCCAGCACATTGACGTTGGAACATAACAACTATAAACCAAATGACACAAAGAAGCAAGACCAAGTGGACAACAAGTATAAAATTGAAAGCCAGCAGCCAAAAGACCAGTATTACGACAAAGATCGACGCGAGGACTACTATCCCGAAGATCGACGAGATGGCTATTATGACGATAGAGACCGATTACGCGACGACAGACGGCGAGATGACTACGATAGGGATCGTTATCGCGATGATCGACGAGACGACTACGAAAGGGATCGCTATCGTGATGATCGACGCGACGATTACTACGACAGAGATCGCTATGATCGCGACGACCGTCGAGACGACTACCATGACAGGGATCGTTACCGTGACGACTACGATAGATATTCGGATAGAAGTTACGGCCGCGATAGTTACGACCGACGAAGCTACGATCGGGATTCCTATTACGATGATCGACGATCGCAAGAAGGACGAAAAACACCGACCTATCTTTAATTATGGACGTTACCTTAGCAACAG